GACTCATATAGCATCTTGATTCTCCTGATAACAAACCTGATCTTCCATGGGAGTTTTCTGAGGCAAACAAATCAAAGGTCAGTGAATAGAATCGCTTCTTGCTTTGCTTTGATGATGAAGAAAATTTACAGTGTGTTGAACGAATTGGGATTTTATCCAATACGGATTAAAATGTGATGTAGATTGTCACCTTAGTTACAGAATTTTTGGTTTGATTGTGTGAAATGTTAGTAATGGTGGAGATAGTATCTGCTATGATTGTCACCCTGTTCAAGGATCAGTAGCTTCAAATGTATTTCAGATGCTTTTTATCAACTTTCTACATAGAGCAGAAAGAGTTATGAAATATTTCATATTCCTTGGCTTCTGATTAGGCATCATGATGCGGTGAGTTAGCATTTCTAGAAAGGATACTTGAACAGCAAATACTGAGATTTTCTGATATTTCCGATTGCCTATACGTTCTTACATACTTTGAATTGGGCTATTTGGTAGCTGATCTATGGGAAACTTAATCCTTGAGTTCTGAGTTAGGGGTCCAAATGGCCAACAGCTTTTCAAAATGGGCCAAATCTGCTAGTGTGGTCGAAAGTCTGTCAAGAAATTGGTTGTGCATTTGGTTCCCGTTTACTGCATCTTTCACGTCTGGCTGCAGGAATCTTGCATAAAAAGTGAAATATATCTCCTCATGCATCCAGATTTTCTGGCATTCTAATAGTATTTCCAAACTTTGTAGGTTAAGGAGATTCTCTCTTACTATCCATCAAACTACAAGCAGTCTGCAGTTATTCCGCTTCTAGATCTTGCACAACAGCAGCATGGAGGCTGGCTCCCTGTTTCAGCAATGAACGCGGTATGTTTTTTCTATAGTGTTTCCAGTTGCTCCCTGACTCTGTGAAGTGTGTGTTTATAATTTATCTTTTTCTAACATTTTTCTCGCTTTTGTTTGATGGTCTGTGCTACTTTATATTCTGTAGCTCTTAAGTTCATTTTTGGAATACACCATCTGTTGATATGATTATACCAATATAACAATACAACAAATTTTTACAGGTTGCTAAAGTTATAGAAGTTGCTCCTATCCGTGTTTATGAGGTTGCAACATTTTACTCAATGTTTAACAGGGCAAAGGTAAGAAGTACTTACTACCAATAAACTCAACTCTCTACCATACTCATCAAAACACACATTGCACACTCATTTTTCATTTGTTCTTACAGGTGGGAAAGTACCACCTGCTAGTTTGTGGCACAACACCTTGCATGATCCGTGGTTCCAGAGACATCGAATCAGCTTTGCTAGACCATTTGGGAGTGAAACGCGGTGGTATAGCTCTTTAACGACCTTTCATAAATAAAATCATGCGGTGATGCTCAGTCATAACAATCTCCGGTTTGATGTATTTTTACAGAAGTCACAAAGGATGGGTTGTTCTCCGTTGGAGAAATGGAATGCATGGTATGGATTTCGATTCACCTCTTTACTCTACTGAATTTTTTGAAATCATGCAGAATCATCGCGTAGATAAATAATGCTGAATATTTGGTTTTGTTACAGGGATGTTGTGTTAATGCACCCATGATCACTGTGGCAGACTATTCCAATGGATCAGAAGGATATACATATAACTATTTCGTATGTAAAAATCTCATCAAATAACTTTTCTTTTCTCCAGCATTATTTTCTTTCATCTCTGCGGTTTAAGACTACAAGAGTAAAATCTTATTTACACTTTCTCATGCTACTATATACAGGAAGATGTTACCCCTGAGAAAGTCGTAGAGATTGTTGAGAAGCTGAAAAAAGGAGAAAAGCCACCGGTAAGACATTAAAGCATTCGGTTACTTTCATGATGTTCGTATCATACTATCGCATTACAGTTTGTCTGGTATGGATGAAAATGAAACTGAATCGGGTTATTTCCTTTTGCTTTTCGGATTGAATACATATATGCATTTTTAACTTCACATTATGTAAATTTTTTGTTTCAGCATGGAACTCAAAACCCGAAGAGGATCAAGTGCGGACCAGAAGGAGGAAACAAGACATTGCTCGGTGAGCCAAATCCACCACAATTCCGTGATCTTGACGCTTGCTAAGCTAAGATTTTTAAGCCGCCAGTTTTATGTGGTTCAATAACGCAAAGGCTATAGCGATGTTCGAAGCTTATAGCAACAAATTGAGTGTGCTTACTCTTTTGTAGTCTTGTTGGTTTTTCAATTTAGACCCATTTTAAACGAATGGCCAAAATCCTCCTCTTTCATTATTATCTCACTTCTAAGATTCATGTGAAATTGTAATAAAGACTTGTCTATGTATTTCTATGAAGCCAAGATTTTCCAAATTGCAAGTGTATTTAACAATATACACTAATAACTTAAACCCAAAAGCAATTGTGTAACTAAAAAAACCTAAATTTTCATACCTTAAAACCGGTTTGTCTGCCAAAAGGTTTCGAGGATCTTCACTGCTTTTTGGTATATGTCGTTGTCATGATTCTGAAGTTCCTCAATCTTCTCAAGTCCTTTTGCCTCGTCTATCATTGAAGCATAGAGGTTATGGCCTCCTCTATGACCCAAGTTCTCCTCTGCTTCTCCAACAATGAGAATTTTCCCTAAGGCTTCTAGGCAAACTGTTATGATGCTTGGTTCTCCGCTGGTAAGAAGGTCACATAGCGGTTCTATACAACCTTGCCTCACCATGAATCTGAGAAGCAAACAACAAAGAAAGACATGGGTTTCATAACGGTTTGTATACGGACAGCCTTGTTTGTATTTCTTTAGGGAGGTTGTACCTGATTTGTTCATCAGTGCCACCACAAGTAGCATTTGAGATTCCCCAAGCAGCTTCTTTTTTTACTTCGAATTCTGCAGTTTGAAGCAACAAAACTAGTGATTGAATTATGAATATCGGAGGAGCACCACTTTTGAGCTATGAACAAGTGGTTATATATATATATAACCAGTTCCGGACACCTTAGTAGCAGAGCTTAGAAGTTTGATGAATATCACCACTTTGAGCTATGGCTTTGGTGTTATCCCTGAAGCGATATTAGTGAGCACCCACGCTGCCGGATACTAAACACAAATGAAAAATGAATGAAAAAAACACACACATATATATATATCAAACTCAGTGAAGATACCTGAAGTTCAGGGTCGCTTGAAAGAAACTTCACCATTGGAGGAACAACCCCGAGATCTACAACAACATTGATCGGAGGATTCCGTGCTAACAAAAGAAAACAATGTATAACCAAAACAAGGCTTATTGTTGTTATATATACACTAACGATTAATAAATAACATAAAATCAGTTTAATCAATCACAAACCGATGCAATACAATTTCCGCAAGAAATTGGTAGCCTTTAGTTGGGAATCTCTATCTTCTGAATCAAATTCCACCAGGCATAAGTGGTAGTTTTTTCATCAACTACAACACAAAAACACGTTAGGGATTTAACAAAATATCTTCTTTGCTGTAGGAATACAGCTATGAAATCAGTAAAAAAACACCTACTATTTTGGAGGAAGAAAGATCTTGTCTAGTTTGTGTCGCGGATGTTCCGAGAATGTCGTAATATTGACGCCAAAACCGTCGTTGCTGCTAAAGCCATCGTTGCCATCAAAACTATCACCACACACTGACTAGGGATCCATTCTAACATGTTGTGCACAAAAAGTTCATTATTGTGTTGTTGCGAGTTAATCAATCACGTATCTGTTAGATTGCAAAAATTATTGAAGCGTGATTGTGTAAGATGACAAATAGTCAAACTTGAAATAATTGATGAAATGAGGTGCTCACCTAAAGTTCAGGAATATCATCGTTGGAGAGAATATTCATGAAGCGAGGAAACACACCAATATTAATAACATCGTTGATCGGAGTAATTCCTACAAAAAAAAATATATCACAAACTGATTTGGTCAATTGTTATATACTTAAATCACAATCGTAGATCACAAACAAATTGAAATTAGCTTTCGAAAGAAAATTGTAGCTTCCAACTGTGAGGCCTTTTCGTCAGATCAAATCCGAAAGCACACAGGTGAGATCTTCCAACCTAGTACAAATCAAGCATAATACAATGGCAAAATCTTACTATCTTTGTTAAAGACATATCTTTGTGATGCTTTTTCGGATCGTCGGTCGGATCGTGAGGTGCCATCGTTACTTAGCCGGAATAATACTTAAAGAAGATGAAATGTAAATTTGGGGAATAGTAGTTTTAAGGTTAGGTTAAAGAAGATGATCCGATTGGATTGATGGGTCATTCTGTTTGAATAATGTAAATACTACTCCCTCCATTCCTTGAGTATTGATGTTTTAGATTTTACTTCCACAAAGATTGATGTTTTAGATCTTAAATTATATTTTTTGTTAAATAATGTTAACAAATTGCAAATTTCAAGAAATATTAATTAAAAGTATCTAAATTTTGAATTATTACTCTCCCCCATTTCAATATGA